GCCCTGTATACCGAGCGGTCCATTTCGAATTAGTCCAGTCACTCACTACAGATGCTTACATTCATGCCTTAAGACGATTTATTGCAAGAAGAGGCAGGATTTCAGTTATTTACTCGAATAACAGCTTGAATTTTGTAGGAACAAACAGTGTGTTTGAAGCATTAGATAGGGACAAGATAGTCGTGTACTCAACCGGTCAAAAAATCACTTGAAAATTTATTCCGTGAGAACAAATGTGTGACTGAGAATCAGTAATAAATGCTAGACCGCTGATCTACATAGAAGATGACCCATATGAATTGGTACCACTGACACCAGGAATGTTTATTCATGGAGAAGTAACAGTGAGACTGCAGATTTTGACAACGTAAGCCGATCTTCCCTGATAAAACGCATAATGTACTTGCAGAAGTTAAGTAAAAATCTTAAACAAAGATTTAGAAATGAGTATCTTGGTCTTTTAGTCCACAAAGGAGTAAGAAGAAATGATGTTTTAAACGTTGGGAATATTGTTCCAATTGGGCATTATCATGTCCGATGCATCGATTCGCCTCTTGGAATAATTTTAGAAATCTATTCCTGGAAAAAGCGATGTTCTGAGATTAAGAACCTACAAGGGCGAGAGGATACATCCTTTTCAAAGACTCTATCCATTAGAAGTGTCAGCAAAAACTGATGTTGATGTCTTGAAGGCTTCTAGAAAAAGTGACATATATGTCAGAACTATTCCTGACTCTACCGTTGAGAACACTGATATCGTTGAAGTGATACATCCTACGTCGGACGTTAGGAGAGGCTACGGTCGCACGCTAGGAAAACATGGCCCAAGCAGGATGAACCATAAGAATTCTTCATCGAGTGGATTTATGAACTTCGTTCTTATTTTTATTTTTTCTCAACTTTTGCAATTGTATAAGACATAAGTTTTACATTCACAAATTTGAAAAGTATGCTTGTTTTAAGTTTGAATTCCAAAGTTCAATTTGTCAATTTCACTTTGCAAGGTGGGCGTATGTTAGAGATTGTACAATAATTAATGTCTTTATTTAAACTTATTTACTACTTCACATACGATTTTCAACTTATATTTAAATTTATGTCCAATTTATGTTTATTATTTCCTTTCCTGTTGTTGAATGGCAACGATTATTACTGTTATTAAGAAGAATATTCTTTTCCTTTTAATTAATCTTCTTTTTATTTACGTAATGTTTAAAACGCATTACGTAATGTTTAAAACGCATTACGTAATGTTTAAAACGCAAGTCTTATTTTCATGTAAATGCAGTACATATAAAGTGACAATAAACCTAATGCTAAATAAAAGTGGTCAAGACATTTTGAAGGTTAACATAGGAGACCGGAAGAGTAATAAGATTCATTGTTTAGTGCAGAATTCTCAACCGCGGACGGAGCGAGTCATAGCTCCATTGAGAGAGCGGTCAACCTTTTATTTAGCTGTTAAATATTTAATTTTAATTTACGAATATAAAAGAAGTTTTATATAAGTTTTGATATTTACCAATGTTTTCTGTACTTTTTGTTGCTTAATTTATAAATTACGTTAAAAAATAATATCTAAATCTAAATAAATATGTTTAAGTATTTTATGAGTTTGGGAAGAAGGGGGGAGCAGGGCAATCAGTTAATGCACTGGACACTAGCCCGGAGGCCCTACAAGCATAGACGCTTCATGCTAATCTGTTTTTATTCCATTTGTTTTCATAGGCAGTTTTCCAGTGGTTTTCATAGGCACCCAGCACAGACACTGAGGGGGATGATTTTCTAGCAATGGTGAAAGTGGAGCATAGGGCAAAATAGGTTGAGAACCAGCGATTTAGTAGCCAGAAAGTGTTTTTAAAATCTGAGACGAAAACTGTGTATTTTTCTTAGCTTACTTAGACAGAAGTTTAATTTGTAGATTTAAAAGAATGAAGAAATGGCAATGCCCTCTCCAGGACTCAAACTACCGCCCTCTGGAGTACACGTCGAGCGTGCTGACCACTACACCACGAAGGCATGCTAAGAAGGCGGGAGAAATACCTTATAATAAAAAAAGGTATCTTTGAATTAATTTATTTATCTTATTTCTTTGTACATGAAAAGCAATGTTATAGCATATAAGATGTAATATAAGAATTCACATTTCATAGGACTGAATTAAAAAAAAACGGGCGGGGGGAGCTGAGTGTTTATTATTATCCGAGGTCTATTTAGCAGTTTAGGTCTAGAATGGTTTTATTAACTTTATTCTTTTTTTTTTTTTTAATTTTTAGTACTTACATATTAATCCCTCTACTTTTTACATTGACAACAGTTTCTACGAATTTTAAAGTACTGACATATTATTCTCCCGTCAACTGTGAAATTTTGCTAACAATAAACTATGAAATTTGGTAGACATTAGCCAAATTTTCGTCAGTTGTTCCTGCGGAATTCTGGTGGAACTGACGCATCGATTTTAACAAACAATAAGTATTCGGCCAACTTCGTTCTCCGCTTCATAAGAAGTCTCTCCTCGATTTCTATTATTTTATTAGACCTCCGATTTTAATACTGATTTCCGGCAGGTAATTGTTGCAATCTATTAATGTTCTGCCGACCATATTTAGTTGATCGTATCGTATCTTAGACACTTTATTTACACTGAAGTGCCACTGTAACGAATTGGGCCTGCTCTGACTTTTATAATGGCTGCCAAACGACGAAGCATAGATTCAAAAAGTTTCTGGAAGCATTCTACGGTAATGGCTTGCCAAACATTGGATGAGCTGCCTATAATTTAGGAAGAATCGCTAGTGTTGTGTGATGAGGTTTCAAACCTTTCTCCAAAACGTCCGAAAGATGTTCAGTAGGATTTAAGTAGCCAATTTATGACAGAGAAGTTAGAAGAATGCTCATCCAACCAGACAGTAGCCAACCGGGACCTGTGAGAGTTGCAGCTATCTTGATGGGGTACTTCCATTTCCGTGTGAATGACAGGACAACATAAATGGATGGAGATGATCGCCCAGCAACTCTAACGTACCGAGTCATATTGATGGAGGTTGGTGCAAGTACCGATGATCCCAAACACTGCCAAGAGAAAGAATCCCAGACCATGATTAAGTCACCATGGCCTTGTACAGTTCCAATCTGTCATGCAGGCTTCATGAGTCTGACACCATATACTCAGCCTCCCATCTGTATTAATTAGTCAGAATCGAGACTCATTCAAGTCAGAATCTAGACTCATTTCAAGTGCATTAGAGTTTATTTTCTGTATTCTCTTGCCTAGGTAAGAAGTGCAGCTCGATAGCATGCATTCAGCAAAGGTACTTCTCGTGGGTCTATGGCTTCCGAAGTCCATATGGTGAAGCGAGCGTTGCACGATTCTTTTTCTGACTGTACGACTGTCGCCCTGAGTCAGCTGGATGGTAATTTGAGCTAATTTTTGGCTTCGTTGACTATGTGCAATACGGCTGAGCTGTCGCACACCACGCTTGTTCTAAGTCAGTGGCGTAGCTAGGGTGGGACATCCGTCCCCAGACGAAGCATCCAGGGGACGTTAAATTGATGATACACATTTCAGAATGAAATGTTTTCCATTCTTGGAACACAGAAAGGGGCGCAAAATCTTTAGGTGTCCTCTGGCGCTGAAAACTTTAGCTACGCCTCTGTTCTAAGTTAATTATCCTTTGCAATTTGCCCGATCGCTAGTTCTCTTTTTCCCACCAACCGGGCATTCTCTGTATACTCTTAACGCTGTCGACCTTGAAAATCCTAGTCCGCTGAGGATTCTGGAAATTGAATGGCCCATGCGTCGAGTGCCTACTATCTGTCCGAAATTAAAGCTGTCTAAATTAGAAGTTTTACTCATACTGGTAATTGAAACAACTGAATAACAATAACCGTAGTACTAGCTGTATGTGCATTTACCACAACTTCCTCATGTGAGCACAGATGCTGAGCAGCGCTATAAAATTTGCATAGTCACGTCTATCCCTTAAATAACTGAGTGGCACTTCAATGTATTTGAAAGCAGGACCGCATAAGTTAGAAAATAATCTGCTGCTTACTGTTCTGCAGAAGTTTGGTCCTAAATTTTAATATTTTCTCTTTAAAATGCAAGAAAAGAGTATAAGCAATAACGTTAATTTATTAATTTATATTTTTGTCCATAAAAATAAAACGTGCTTTATCAAGAATCAAGCGGGGTTACATCAAAGAAAAGCGCGGATGTTATGACTACGTTGTTATGTTACATTTGTCCATATTTGCCGTTAAATCGTGCTATTTCATGAGAGTATTAGTCGATCGGATAATACGTAAGAACCAGTTTTATTCTGCGAATTTACCCCAATTTATTCTATTTTTTTTTCATCTAATTATAAATGAAGTTTCATAGTTCTAATGCAGATATTCAGAATGTTGTTTGTTGGGATGTCAGATATATAGAGACAGAATTTAAACTGCATTTTTATTTTGTTAAATAAAATTATTGCAGTCACTGCTGTATTTCCAACGTACCAGTTTTAACTGATTAACTACGTTCACCAAAATAAGCCTTTTTTTTTTTTTTTTTTAAATGAAATGTCGGACTGTTATTTGCATAACAAAGAGCAAAGATATTTTTTTTTAAGATTTAAAAAAAAAAAAAAAAAAAAAAAAAAAAAAACTGTTTTCTTTGAAGTTTTCAAAAGCATTTTACTGTTTGCAAGAACACTGCTTAAATAATCCGTTGTATAAGCAGTATGAAGGCTTATATTTTACCAATTTCACACTAATTTTTTTGTTATCCTCTCCGCACCAAAAGTGTCCGTCTTCAAATTTACGTTTAATAAAAAGATATTTCTGTAGGAAACTAAACTGAACCGTTGGAAACTAAACGAAACGGACACTATAATCTAAATGACTGTAATCCCTTTAACAGTATGTTTATTTTTAAGAACTTCTCCATGATCTGAACATGTGGCATGCAAATAATGAATATGTATGTGTAAAAAGTAAATTTCACAGGCTAGTTGTAACTGTTTATTCATCGCTATGTATCCACATATGAGCATACATAACTATGTACAACACACAACTACAGTGTTTCTTATACAACAACAACGGCCGAGATGATGAAGCAGGTGTGTTTTTTTTTTTTTTTTTTTTTTTTTTTTTTTTTTGTTTCAAGTAGGGATAATGCTGCGCTCACTCAGTCCTGTTATAAATTTATAACAGTGTAATGCACATTCCCTACACATACTAAGAATTCACAAAGCTGAGAAGACTAGCACACTCACCATTTTGGGAATAAAATCATTACCCAGCAAATGGGATATGGAACACATCATATACAGTGTACAATATTTTTTCGATTTTGAATTTTTGTTTCTTTTAAGACAAAGGTATAGGATTTACAAGGTGCTCTCACTAGTAAGCAAATGAAACCAAAAATTTTAAATAAATTCTCTTTTGGTATAAATTTTACTTCTGGTCTTATAAAAAGGTACTGAATGCTCTTGGAAAAATCTTGTGCGCCTTATTTGATTTTAATAATCATTCTCGATAGTTAAAAAAAAAAAAAAAAAAAAAAAAAAAAAAAGAGAGGAGGGGAGTGCTTCAATTGTACTTCTCTTTGCAAAGCTTTGTAAGATTGATTCTACATCAAAAATGTAACTGAATTTGAATTTGCATGAAAATTAATGAAGTTTAAGACAAGTAAACTGGTGAACAAAACATTATTCCATTTACTTTAAAACTATGTCCAAAATAATAACTGATAAAAAAAGACAATTATTACTATTATTATTATTTGTATTATTACAGAAGTACAACGAGATAAAAGAACTTACTTATTTTTTTTTATTGAATTGAATTAGTAATGTTAAAATCTAAAATTATACCCATTCATATCATTTTACAATGTACTACAGGAAAAAAAAGATAAATTTTAATATTAATTTAATGATGGAAAATGTGTGACTTTATGTTATGATGAATAATACGCTGTATATTTAATAAATTTTCAGGATTTTCGATTATCTGCACCCCCACGAAATGCTGTCAATGAATGTGTAGGTGATTTTGTAAACTGACGAAGAATGTCTGTAGATATAATCCAGAGTGCTGCTGTTACCTGTTAGGTTAGAGCAGATTTATATTATAATAGTGGATAAATGAGGTCAGTGTACATAGAGACACCTTTCTTGCAGTTCAAGTGCAGACAGCAAGGAAGGAATGCAAATATGAGGATGTATGTAGGCAATGACGTTTATAATTTCAAAAATGTTGGACAGACCCCTATAAGGGGCATACGGCATAATTTTAGTGAACTTTGTCTATACAATATTGTTCTATTCAAACGAAATAATAAAGACAATTTTATAAGAAATTTCACAAGAAGGAACAAAAGTTCACATGGCTGATATTTGCTTTATACAGGTGTTTACAATCCTCAACAAACTGACGGCTGGATATAAAGCATATATACTTAATATGTTGTATACTTAAACAAGTGTATCAGATACATGCTCGAAAATATACCCCCAAAAACGAAAATTCTACCACATGTTGAAACCGTGGTTGCCGATATCAGCTTCGATTTCAGCATTCCTTCAAAAGTACCGAATTTTCTTACTCAAGGAAACTTCAAATTGGATAAAAGTATAAAAAATTCTGCAAATGATAACATCTGTATTCAGTTCTTAAAATATGAGCTTCTAAAGAGCTAAACTAGATCAATTTAAAACGTGACAGTGTAATTTCAGAATAATCCTTATGTTCAAACCAAAAAAATGGTGATTAAAATGCCAAATATTGCATCATTATGGCAAACCTTCAATGTATGATTTCTCTCTCCTACCAAGGCAAAAGCCTCGAATTCTCTTCTCTATCTTCAGATTATAAATTATCACCCAGTTTGTGGACGTGACATTTCCCATTTCTTAGGTTATATGTAGGTGCTAGCAATAGCATTAAAGCTTTTAGTACTCAAGTTAGAACAATTTCAGAATCCAAGGAAATTGTTTGGATACAAGTGTCTTTGTGCTTATAATGCAGGTACATATACTGGATTAAAAATCATCATTCTTGTGAATTAAAAGTGGTCACTGGATAGATAAAACATAATATGAACGAAATTGAAAGAATATTTATTTATTTTTTATTCAGTTTGGTTTAGAAGTTTGAAAAAGTCAGAATGAGTGACAAACTGATTTTTTTTTTTTTTTTTTTTTCTTTTCTTCAATTTCAATTTCATGTAATTCATGTAGCTTGGAAATGCAAAAATAACCTAGAGCGAAGTTTTCCAAAGTTCTTAAAATTATATCAAAATTACACACTATCTATGGACACCTACCTGATCAAGGGAGAAAAACTAAAGTTTAAATTTATGCTTACTTATTGTTTTTTGCTTTTTAAATCTTAGTGATTGATTTCTTTTTCTTACATAATTCATAATGCAGCATCATTTTGAAAATGGATCTTGTCTTGAGTGTAAACATTTTGAAATCTAATCAAAAGATATCTTTTCTGGAAAGACATCAAATGGGAAATTTAAACAATGTGTGTTCTTTTAATTATTAAAAGCATAATTATATATGTAGGGATATTACTTAAGAATACATTTTTGTATTTGATGAACATAAGATAATGAAGGAAGCTCATTTAGAGAATAATTTTAATACCTCAGGAATATCAGTTTATTATATAAAGGGAGAAAGAGGGAAGGTTTATAAACAATTGCTATTTTTAACAAAATGCATTGTATATATATTAATTAAAGGACTTCTGTAATTTTCGGGAAATTTCTTACTAGCTTTATTACTATTATGTTAATTTTAATATTGAGTTTTATTCTGCATTTTGAAAATTTAGGTCAAAAGCTTTGTTATTTTCAAAATAAAAAATTAATTACAGTAAATTCTAGTTTTTAAAGTAGATAAATACAGTAAAGAATATACTATGGTATGCGATATATGTAAAAGAGGCTTGCACTGAAGGTTTGGTTAAAACTGCCACTGCCATTCAGAATGAGAAGCGAAGGGGGGGAAATGTACCTTTTTTAAACCCTGAAATTTGTCTATATGTTCAACTTTTAAAATTTCTATTCTTTAATAACTTTTTATTTATAGGGGAAAAATTGTGTTCCATTAAGTGTGTGAATTTTGATTATCACACAATAATTTTCATCACATTTTCTAGAAGTAACTGTATAACCAAGAGAAAAAAACTTTTCAAGATCAGAATTTATCAAACTTTGAATTGTATAATTTAAAGAGAGATCTAATTGAAGCACTGGTGTAAAAATATATTAATTAAAATATTAAAAAATATCATTTAAATAAATATGATAGGAATGTAGATAAAATTACAAAACATAACAAAAAATTATAAAATGAACCTAATCTAACATCACATTAAATGTTGCACTTTGAAATTATTTTAAAATAATGAATCAGATTCATTTTCTTAAATATGAGACACCTTGTATGATACATATGGATAACAGTGGCTCACAACTGCTTGTAAAAGTGAATTATAATTATAACATTTATAAATATAACAATTTTCCAAGCACAGATGGAAAGAACTGTTCATAGTTAATATTATAAGGATGTTAAAACATTTTTTGTCCAGTTTTAATTTACAACCATTGATAAAAATGTATATTTTATTAGAATAAAAACAAAAATATATTTAACTAAAAATCTATATTAAAAAACAACCAATAGTTTAGGTCTCTTTTCCTTGATGTGTAGTTTGGAATGACAGAACATCTCCTGTTGCCAGCACAGAAGAATGGAACAAGTACTTACAATTTTGTAATTTTGATTTCTTTTTCCTCAGTTAATACCAACTGCAGCTGATTATCTCAATGCTAATGAATTATAGAACATAATACATTTTTTATATATATTTGCAAAATATTTAGTTTAACATAGGAAGAAAAAAAAGGGGAGAAATTTAACACACTCCAACTTTTAATGCTATGAAATAAAATTTAAACAAGTATAATAAAACCATTGAAGATTTCTTATTGCTAAATAAATACTTCTATAAATGTAGGATTTTGCTCTGAACAAATGCTCCAGTATATTAAGGTAAACAATGATTCAACATACATTAGATTAGTATGCTTGATAGGCTAAAAAAATTTTCCTTCTGTTACAGGTAAATACCAATTTCAAAATTGAATTTTCTTTTCTCGATGAATTAAAAACAACATTTATCACTACAGAAAAAAATTATGTACACCGACTATTGAATAATATTTAAGAATAATGTTAGTAATGAAAGCGAAGTATTTCTTGAAAGACACTACTTAAGATACATTTAAGAGAGACAGCTAATATTTTCGCACTGATAACATATTACAATAATTTAAAAAATCACTTTATGTAAGAGCTATTATATTACTTTTAACCTAAACATCATTTTAAATTTAGATTTTTAAGATGTAAAATTAAGAGGTGGCCTAAATTCAAAGGAAATATTTTAATGATGTATTTTTGCCAATTTTCTAGTTCTCAGTGTTCGGGTCTTAAAAGTCAAAATGATTTCACAATAGGTATTTTTCTGTACTTATTATAAAATCATTTTTATTTTTCATTATTTTCCAATTTTAAAATCCTATTGGGTTTAAATTCAATGGTATCTATTTATTATTATTTTTTCCTATTTTAAAGCCTAGGTCTAAATTTAGAGTAATGCAGTATTTCCATATAAATAATTGTATTAAAACAATTTTGAAACTTATACAATTCAGGTTTGAACCTCCCAAAAACGATGTTTTAATTAAGTTAGTTACAAGTTTGACAATAATGTTTGTACATGATAAGGATATAATTTAGAAATACACATGAATATTCCATAAAAACATTTTTCTCTACAAAAATGGAGACATACACCTAAACTCCAGTTGAATATTTAATACAGAATAATTTTAGTTAAAGTAATTATTTCATGTTAAAAACGTGTGAAATGATTCTAATACATTTGAATACTGAAATGTAAATGCTTAAAGGGAAATGCAAGTTAAATAAGTATGTATAATGAAAAATTTAATACAATTCCAAAGAAGAGACAAAGAACTGATGAAACCAATAAACCAAGATTATGACATTTTAAATTTCGGAATCTATTTAAAAGTTAATGCAATAAATGAAATAAAATGACCATTATTTCTAAATTCTTTTCCCTTAATACTGTAAAATATTTCTCATAATTAATCTTGTTTATTGATTATACCAAGTCATATTTTCTGGGCAATAATTTTTTGGCGACAAAGTCTGTACTGACATTTTAGTAATCATTATCTGTTGCTTATTTCTAGTTTCTGGTCTATTAAAAAGTATACCGCTGGCAACAATCATTACATTTTCTTCCTTCTTGTCTATTCATTACATAAATTTCACTCACTACCTTTTCTTCACTTTAACAACTAAGCACTTAATTAGTAATATTAAGCAGGTGTAGCTTATAGAGTTTGCTGCCAACAAAAACATATGCTTCTAAACGTCTTTCAAAAGTTTGATGCCCATCATCAGCCGAATGGTAAGATCACCAAATACTGGTAGTTTCATTTAAGTTTAAATCTCAGTGAATAAGCTGGCTGCATGAGAGTTTAATAGCTTTCCCCACATGTAATGCAAATATGAGTCACTTTCCTTTAAAATGTTCTCCAGAAGGCGTTCATTTCCTTAGGTGATAGCCCTTGCATAAATCAAATAATCCAATTCAAGAGTAGGTGCCCAAAATGTCATTACAGATACTTTGACAAAAGAATTCTTGAGATCCAAAAATTATCTCCAAAAAAATATGATCCAGTATAACTGAAAAGTGCATTACTATTATAATAATTACTTTTCCTTCCATTTTGCAAAAAATATTTTTGAAATTTATCATACATACATGGAAAACAGTGATGACAAAGATGGAGAGGTTTTAGAATTCAGTATTGTCATTTTCAAAGACAACAAGATACATTTAAGGTATGGTGAACAGAATTTGTAATGACAATGCACTAGGAAAAAGAATACATACAGTATTTTTCAAATGATGTTTTTTAACATATGCCTTTAATTTCTGGTTTGCTTAGTCCTTATATAAAAATACTATACACATTTATGTAAATTCATTCAGTGAAAACTAATACAATATAATATCAAATTAAAATTAAAGTTTTTCCATTTCTTTTTTTTTTAAAACCACAAGAGAGGAAAATCAGAGCAGTTGGTTATATTCTTCATTAATGATATAGTTATAAACAGAATGAATTCAAATTCAAGACAGTCACCCAGCTATATATTTACAGAATTGAAAGACTAATTAAAGAATTAAGTATGCATTGATTGCTTGAAATTGAGGCTAATATACTAAGTGGAAAAATAAAGGGAAAAAAAACATCAACTGTGAAGATTTAAATAGGTCTAGAAAAATATTCATGCTATTGATTTCATAAGTACATGCAAGAGAAATCTGAAAGTTGTAGGGAAGTTACAAATATTTCGACAGAAAATGGAAGAAAGAAATCGTGCTATTTCTGAAGTGTAAATCCCAAAGTTTTCAGATGTTCCATGATTTTGGATCATTACGAGCAAACTTAACGTTTGCACATGGGATAAAATTCAATGTATGGAAAATATTTTTTTTTTAATGAAAGCCATTTTTTAGCAGTTATTTTGCTATTAAAACATATTTATGTGTGAATCGGGAAAAATACAGTTTACAGAATAACTAAAAATTTATTTTTATTCAACATTAAAGAGTTATAACACTGAAAACAGAAATATATTCACATTTCATCTTTTTTTTTTTTTTTTTTTTTTGATAAAACTTGCATTCCCACTTATTGTGCTTTATTTTTCTCATTACACTTACCAATTTAGCAACCCACAGCAAACAGAATAACATATTTAAAAGCTACACAAACTCTTAGAATTCTCACCATCATGAATAAAACTATGTATAACGAGAAAATTTTAATTCCACTTTTTTGTTTGCAATTTTACATATTGTTCTTTTACAGTTTCGGCAGTATCTACAGCAAATAGTATACATACGAATATAATCTTTATTGGTTGCATAGCAAATTTTAATCAGTGAAAATGCACATATGATAATAATATTTTTTTACTCAAGACTTCACACACAATTTTGATTTCACTCAGTTACAAAATATTAACAATCAAATTTCTGTGTGCTGAAGGTTGCTACAGAGGACTGACAAACAAACCCTCTATCTAAATAGAAACTTGGGAATTTTTTGGGATAAAAATACCACATCTGGAAATACAAGACAAAAAATTTTCAAGGAGGCTTAAAAACAGCAATGGCATGGATTTTATAATCATATATATATATATTATGTGAATATATATATTTATATATATAAAACTGAAGAGATAAATGTGTCTGCAAAAGTCACAGTTAGTGGTGTCATTTTTCCCCAATTTTTGAACCAGCCAAGTCACGATTTCTTGTTAAGAGCTTTCTGTTCATCACGGCGATGAACCACTTATTAGTTTGTACACCACACAAGCCATGCTTTTAAATTCCGTCCTCAGTTGGCAGTTATAGTTAGAAGTGGTCAATGGTTTCTTCTTTTGCTGAAATGTTTAGCACCAAACCACGGACCTCAAATAGCTGGAAGCTCTTTGTAGTAGTAGTGGATATTCCCTATGAATTTTGAATGCTTTGCTGCTCGTCACAATGGCTTGATAGAATCTATGGAACAATAAATTAAAAATTTATCACAATTCATATTACAATATATATACATTCAAAAAATGTAATACAGTAGTCAAAAAGTGCTTAGAAAACTGAAAGAACAAATTAGACATAAAATTAGTGCTATGAGCTGCTAAATTTTAAAAAATAAATTCAATTTAGTATAGAATTTTAAAACCTAACATAAGCCTTAAATATTTGAAAGCATCCTATCATTTTTCTGAAACACGTTACAAAAGTGAAATACATAGGAAAAAGACAAGTTACAATCTAAATACATTATTAACCTGAATTTTGCCCATTCTTATCATTGTCACTATGAATCCTTGGGCTTCGAATCATCCGTAAATAATTGGAGAGCGTGAATATGCAGCCGACTTGGCAAAATTGTAGACTGAATGTTGGTTCATGTTTGTTTTGCTGCCATGGGTCGGTTCATACACCAGGTTGGAATAAAATTCAAAGTCTTTAATCCGGACTCATCGGGACTTCGGCGATTCCAGATTATCAGTTTTTCCGGATTATAGATCATCAGTTTAAATCTGGTAAGATGGCATGCAGAAATTATAAAATTAAAAATATGAAACCGTAATTTATGAAATAAAGAGCAGTTATCTAAAGGGTATCAAAATTAAAAAAAAAAAAAAAAAAAAAAAAAAAAAAAAAAAAAAGCTTAATATTTATTTTTTTACTTTATTAAACATTTCTTTCAACGCGTACCTGCATAAAGCATACATTATGCATAGTCAAAATTAGAAAATTGCAACCAGAATACTATTTGATGTGAATTAGTGATATTTATAATGACGAGGAAATTGATTTAAATTATATCGGAGTACATCGAGATGAAACACTACATTTAGTGAGGAATTATAAGGTGAATAAAATAAAAACATCTGCCCTGAAGATGAGGATAGTGCTGACAGATCAACTGCCAGTTCATTGCGCGTCGCGATGTTCTCTCCCCCCCCCCCCATCCGCAGAACAGCGTGAAATTGATAAACAGATTACGGAATGGTTAGGGAAACAAATCACTTCTCTGTCACTTTCTTCATGCCTTTATTTTTTGCAGCAGTTCCACTTTTTGTTTAATGGACATTGAAACATGCTTTCGCTTTGCAGATCCTTTGGCAGCTCCAGCATCGGAAATTCTATTTGACATAATCGAAAGTTCAAGCTTACTTTTATAAAATTGCTCTAACGCTATGCAAAAAATAATAAGCCGGATCCAATTCAAAGATTAAGGAACAACGCAATCTGCAACATTAACTGAAATAGATAATTAGATAATTTTAGTTTAGCTTATACCGTTCCGTTATACATTAAACGTGCATGCGCACATGCATATGTGCATGCGTAAAGGTATTACGTGCATGCGTGAACACATTATGCGTTGACGTTTGTAGCTTTGAGGTCCGGATTATAGATCATTCCGGATTATGAGTGTCCGGATTAATGACTTTTGACTGTAATAAGAAAAGAAAGGTTTAGCACCATAGGTAGTTTGTGAAAGTTTGTTTTTCTCTGTAGACGAACGGTTGCAATGAAGAACCCATTTTAAAGTTAAGAGGAGTTCATTCTTTGAATGCATTGATGAAGAGAAAAAAGTTACATGAATATTTAAAAATTTTTCAAAACCTGGAGCTTAAAAGTTAGAACGAAAAAATATGCCATGAAATGTAACATTTTTTTTTTTAACTACAAAAATTTTATTCATAATATTAGAAAAACATATACCTTCAAATGATACAGTACTAGTTACAAGAAAAAGAGTAAATGATTAACAGTGACATTTACTTATTACCCTTAATATATTCAGAGCGAAGTTTGTGCTTGGGGACCAACAATGAATTTTCTGCAAGTCCCCATGAACTGACACACTATTTTTTCTTTTGCTAGCCTGACAGAGAGGCAATAATATGAAAATAAAACTGATATGTTTTCCTTAAGACTCATAATATAGAACTTTATTACTAACATCGGTCCTTGAAGACTCTTGTATGAAGCAAAATTGATGTACGTTCCTGAGAACTGATGGTATGATGTTTCATACTTTAAAATTTTTAAATTTGCAAAATAAACTTGAGAAAATATGCTTCCTCATTACTTCCTTGTACGAAGCAAAGGAAGTGTTGTAATCACGAAAAATTCAGGACATCATATTTCAAAGAAAATATCCATTTTGACCAGTATCTAATGAAATTTAATGATATTTTTGCATAACATCTATACATAAGGACAGAATAAAAGTCTCTTTTCTTCCCAAACAAATTATAAAACTGATTTAAAATGTATTCAGGTGAGATATTTTCGTGGCGTCTGTACGTACGTACATACCTCGCAAAGTCAAAAATGCGTAGCCTCAGAATGTTGAAATTTTGTACATAGGACTGCTATAACATGTAGTTGTGCATCTCCCTTTTTAGTTGCAGTCAGCAGCACCAAAAGTATATATATATATATATATATGAATTTAACAAACATTCTCTATTCGTACACTGTTACTCGGCTCAGTGAGCTCATTTATTTTATTCTTATGTGTTGGTAAATTGTGCATTTTTTGCTTTAATTGAATTTATGTTCTTCTTATCTTCAGGTTAAGGTTTTTATGACTTTAATTAATTTGTATGCAATAGTTGTAGAATTATCGACAATTTAAAAGTTGTTTAAGTGCTGCTAAGCCTAATTTTTCTTACCATAGCAGCCATATTTGTTTACATATGAAATTTAGGAGAATAGTGAATTAAGTCTTTTTGCACTTTTGATGTCTTTTTGTCGAGTAGGACCAAAAGGAAACTTTTAGTTTTGTGCACCGAAAAATCTGCTTTCTTGCCTGCTGGCCGAATTGCTTGTTTTTCCGTAGAAACTGTAATTTTAATTGCAAACATTGTTTTCTAATTTCTTTAGCTGTATTTGGTGTTTCATGTTTTTCTACATTTTTCAATTTTAAATGAATTTACTTTGAGATTTTGTATGATTGCCTTGCCGTGAAGTGAGAACTGAATTAATTGAATGAGAAATATATCTCTAATGAAATCCGAGGAAATAATCGAATTTAATTCATATTAATATTGCTTCATCAATAATTGACATTACAACAGGTTCACATGACACATCATTTATTACAAACCAACATCAACTGACGATTACTTCACTTCACTTCGACCAGCAACTAGTGTGTTGCCACATATATGTAACAGAATGATCTTGCAAAATTGGAAACTCTTCTTTCTACACCATATACAGCCACAAAAAAGCTGCAATCTGAAGAATTGACAGGAGGCAAGAATGGAAAAATGTGATGTTTGCTCTTTCTGAAATGGAGGGTTTATTGCAGAAGGAATCATTTCTTCAGTGAAGAAAAGAGCAACTAGTTTGCTAGACAATGAGATCTTGCTGAGTTCGATATATGGAGATCCGAAACACCGAATTTTCTTGGATGATGAACAGATTAAAAAGGCAAAGAGAGCCAACTATGAACTTTCATTAAGAATGAAATTATTCTCAGAACAATTTGAGAATTCGAATCAGAACAGTCAAACTGCAGACATTGCAATTGGGTCTCTATCATCCTCTTCCAAAGATGAATTAGATTTTGAGAAATATTTTTGGATAATATTGGAAAGGCTAAGGCAAAGTGAATGAAAATAAAGATTCAAGAAACTTTAGATATAAAATTGAAAAAATACAAACAAGATTTCTACACAGCCTTTGAAGAAATAGAGAAATATGATTGCACTTGCAAGACACCTCTTTTAGAACTTATAAAAAAACCTATTCTGAAAAGTTAAAAGAAGTAGCCCTAACAGAAGCAGCTCTTCCTCCTACTCAAGTCAGTGTTGAAAGACTCTTCTCAGCTCTGAAGTTTATCAAATCGGATCTATGGCCCTCCAATAAAGTAGATCTTGCCGAAGCTATACTGTTTCTTAGAAATAACTAATGCCAGTTTTTCCATTTCATAATAAATGCTAATTAATATAAATAATTTGCTATGCCATCAATTTTTTTTTCTATAACATTTTTACTTATTTTATATTAAAAAAATAAGCTGTAACCCATGTGTATATGTTTACATACATATATATATATATGAGGGAGTCGGAGTTGAGTCAGAGTCTTTAAAATTCCAGGAGTCGGAGTCGGTCATTTTCCCTATCGATTCCACAGCCCTGTGTTAAACTATACAAATTTTTTTGCTGCACTTGATTTAAACTTATTTCCTCGAATTTCATTACACATATGTATCTTATTCAATCAATTCAGTTTTCACTTAGAGACAAGGCAAAAATACATGGAAGCTCAAAACGTCTTCATTAATAACTGTAAAATAAGAATAACTTTAAACACTAAATACAGTTAAAAAAATTTTACAATTAGAGAAAACAAGCAATTCGGCCATGGGCAGGAGGACAAAATTTTCGGAGCACAAAATTGAAAGTTAATTTTTAATCCCACCAGCAAAAAGGCACTGAAGTTCGTGCAGCAGCTGACTTAATTCACTGTTCGACTAACAGTTTCAAATGCACACAACTGTCGGCCATGTTAGGCCTAGCGCCACTTCTAAACTGTTGATAATTCTACAACTATTGCACTCAGATTAAGTAAGGGCATAAAAACCTTATCCGGAACATAACAGCAACATAATTCAATCACTTTTACAGCAAAAAATACATAATTTATCAATATATAAGAATAAAAAAGCAAAGCTCAAGCAGTTGGGTAAGAGAGTGGATATACGCATGCACACACATTTGGTGCGACCAACTGCAACAAAAAAAAGAGAGGTGCACAACTAAATGTTATAGCAGTCCCATATACAAAGTTTCCACGCTTTACGGCTAATCATTTTTGAATTACGGGAGAATGTGTATACGTCATGAAAATATAATTTCTGAATTGATTTTATAAACCCTTTTGTAAAAAATAGGCTTTTATTCTATCTATATGTACAGATGTCTTTCAAAAAGGTGTCTAAGTGGATTCTAGAGCAGTCAAAATATATATTTTCGTTTAAATATGACACTCAAAATTTTTCGCGATTACAATATTTCCTTCACTTGTACAAAGAAAAAAGAATGTGTTCGACTTTTTCATGAAAGAGACAAAATTCAAACTGAAAAAAATTACTTAAAACAAATAAAATTTTTGGTTGAATTTTTAATGAAAATTTATGACATATTTTTAGTTTCTATCATTTAAATTATACATACCTTGTGCTGTGGACAATATATTGTGTAAGTGTCTTCGTCCATGTGACACCCTAAAAAGTGCGAATCATTTAATTATTAAAATAAAACAAAAATAAGTGTATGCATTAATACTTTTTAATTTTAAGGCATAAGAAATAATAAATAGATAAAAGACATTCATACATATTTTAAACTAAACATACTTTAAAAGACAAGAGTTTCTGAGGTTAGTCAATATATACCCAAAGGTCTTGATATGAAACTGAGAGGGGTTGACGTAAAAAGTAAAATACAAAACAACAGTATAATAAATAATACTTGTTAGTTTTACCAGTCCGAAAAGCAACAGAAAAAATGTCACCACGTTTAGCCACCATAGTCCTTATAAACCAGCACTTCTAAATAATGGAATATTAAGGGAAAACTTTTTATCAATGAAAAAATTATTTTGCAATATTTATTACTTTATTTTTGTGTTTGCTATATTGTTTGGCAGTGACTGGCTGTGACAAGAGTACTTAAATAACTAAATTTTTTAATTCAAAATTAATTTGACACTTACATATTAGACATAAAATATAAAAATGTGAAGGAAAATTATTAGCAAACTTAATTTAATTGGAACAAATTACTAACTTAATTGGCAATAGTCTGCAGCAACCATGTAACGAACTTTTAAATTAAATGTTAACTGTTTGTGTTTTCATGTATAGCAGTGCTGCAACTAAACTCTGTACTTTTTTCTCAAGCGAAATGAACTGATTCTTGTGAGTTAGTCTTCCTTGTGCCTGTGCTGTTATCGCTAGTGTGCAGATACGCGGCGTGATACGTTTTGGTAGAATGTTCTTTTCTTTTGCTATGTAAATTGTAAATAAATGTGATTAATTGAATAAGTTTAGCTTATTTGTGAATATGCAGAACCAACCTGCCATCGTTACCGTCATCAGACACATCCCTGCAGTTAAAAAAAATTACTCTCCTGGAATCAAACATTGATCTATTCTGTGATGTATTGACTGGCAGTGTTCGTCCCTATGTCCCAACACAGTTTCAACAAGATGTTTTTGCCTCATTACACACCATGGCTCATCCTGGTGTACGCAGAACACAACACATTGTGCGGTCATGATTTGTCTGGCCTAAAATGTTATCGGATATAGCTGAATGGACCAAATGTTGCATCCCATGTCAGAAGGCTAAAATTCATCGTCATACAAAAGATCCTTTGGCAAGTTTTAAGGAGCCTTCCCAAAGATTTGACCATGTTCATTTGGACCTTATACGCCATCTCCCTCCCTCAAATGGTTATTCTTACTGCTTGACTTTAATTGATTGTTTCTCTCGATGGCCTGAAGCTCAACCACTCAAGGATATCTCTGCTGAAACTGTTGCAGAATCATTTTTCACATGCTGGGTCTCCAGGTATGGAGTGCTCTCTACTGTGACAACTGACCAAGGATGTCAGTTTGAAGCTTCACTTTTTCACTCTCTTACTCAGCACTTGGGAATTCAAAGATCCAGAATGACTAGTTACTACCCCCAGTCGAATGGGTTAATAGAGAAATTGCATCAACCTCTTAAGACTGCTATCGAGTGCCATGCCAATTAGCGGTGGACTGAAGTCCTTCCTGTGATCCTTCTTGGTTTTTGAGCTGCTTTAAAAGAAGATTTAGGTTGCACACCAGCAGATTTGGTTTTTGGCACCACCATTCCTCTGCCTGGGGAGTTCCTGGTTCCTGCTCAACAACCGGTTGACCCCACAGATTTTGTCAGCCACTTACGTGCACATATGCAAACACTTTGCCCCATACCACCCAAGAACCATGGGTGATAGCAAAACCTTTATACACCGTGATTTAGCCAAAGCTATCCATGTTTTCCTTCGTCATGCTATGGTGAGACGCCCACTTCAACCTCCTTATGATGGACCATTTTTAGTTGTTCATAGAACAGAAAGGTCTTTTAACTAGACATAAATGGCAAAACTGTACCTGTATCCATTGATCGTGTAAAGCCAGCTTGTGTTCTGAACAGGCATAAACCAATCGCTCCACCACTAACTTCACCTCACCATTTGCAGGGCACTGTGGTACATAATTTGCCAATTAACCCAGATACTCCATCAAATGATTGTCCATCTGATATCACAAATTCAGCACAGCCTGCAACATAGGTGCAACCCAAGACTACATGTTCTGGGCGTCATGTTCATTTCCCTGTACGATATCGTTGCCACTGGGAGGGGAGTATGCAGCAACCATGTAACAAACTTTTAAACGTTAACTGTTTGTGTTTTCATGTATAAACTGCAACTAAACTCTGTACTTTTCTCTCAAGTGAAGTGAACTGATTCTTGTGAGTTAGTCTTCCTCGTGTACTGTTATTGCTAGCATGCAGAAACATGGCGTGATACGTTTTCGTAGAATGTTATTTTCTTTTGCTATGTAAGTTGTAAATAAATGTGATTAATTGAATAAGTTTAGCTTATTTGTGAATATGCAGAACCAACCTACCGTAAGTCCTTTCAATTTCCAATTTCAATATAAGTACAATTCTCTTCAAGTTATCAACATTGGCATCACTGTTTCCTTGCAGAGATCTGCATTGTTGTGGGCTTTTATCCAGTTATCATTCAGAACTCAAACAAAGAAACCAAGTTTATAAATAACCCAGCTATCATGCACACTCTTTTCTTCCACTCTTCTGTCGCTTACCTAGTATCTACTTGCCGCTCAGCAGTATCTTCCATTCTAATTCCATTCTATCTAAAATATAACTGTGTGTATAAAAGTGTGGGTCATTAAGCATCCCTAGTGTTGTACTAATTAAGAAAAAATGTATGTATACCAAACAGTTCCTGTTCAGATATAAAAATGTTTTAACAATCAAGCTAGCTGTGATTTTCCCACCAGCCATTTACTACGCAGTGATTTCAAGCTGTCTTCTAGTGTGTGAGAGTTGTATCCTTTCTTACTCTGGCCAAGACTGAAAAATAATTGGTATTTTCCCTCTAAATTTCTCATTGTACCATTTAAAGCATCATGTAAAAGTGATTATATGAATAACCGCAGTTAAAAATCTACCGCTAACGAAGCTAGAATTAAAATAATTTAATTCATACAATTGTAGGTTATTAAACCTAGATTATTTGTAGAAATAAATGTGTGTGAAAAATCTACCGTAAATTTAATTAAGGTAATTTTTTTAACTGAAAATTAAGATTATACTGAATTAAATACAAATGAATAAATACAGTAATAATTATTGACGATTCAATCTAACAAGGCTGACATCCATCAGGTTATAAGCCTTTCTTTATTCGATATTTCAATACTTAGGTAATACTAATTTTATTAATTAAAATTTATATATTATTAAAATCAAGGCAAATTCAAATATATTCAGTTTGGCAAAGTAGAAAGAAGAATTAGTATGGCAAAGAATGAACAAAATGGCAAAAAAGTGCAAACAATTACTGTACCAATCCACACAAGTGAAAAAACTTTAAGATCCTGTGAAGAATAAATCCAAATTTATTTCCTTCTGCAAAGTTGGAATAAACAAAAAATTGTTGCCAAACATTGTAATTTAGCACTTAAGCACCAATAATGGAATAAGCATAACATCACAATACAATCATAAGATCTTCGCCACTGTTCCATATTAACTCGATTAACTACTGATACGTTAAGATAAGTCAAATGCTATTTATCTGTTTTTCCCTTCTATTCTGTGAATGTGTTGCAGAAGTTAAAATTGGGGATCATTGCATCAAAGTATGAAAGTAAGAAAAGTATGTGTTAATGGGCACGATATGCGAATTGATTTGGAAATGAATATGATGATAGACTGCGAAAAATTATGACAAGCGACGTAAGTTTTTTTTTATAAGCTTATATCTTTAATTTGCATTTCTTGACTATTTAATTAAATAAAGAAAGGCTAATCAATTCTTTCAAATTTCTATCAGAATGAATGGCATGCATTTTGTGGAACTTACACCACTTTTTATGGATGACAGGCTTTCACAATCTAACATATTTTGTTTTCATATGTGTAAGGCCTACGAAAATATTTCGACTAATAAATTGTTTTCCCGAAATCTTGCATAACATTAAATGTAAGCTTCTCATATCCACGCTAACATGTTAGATGGTGGTTTTCATAGGCTTTTATCATGCATTGCATTTTCTATCTGGAATTTTCCTGTATCCGGCATTATCAGATGGCATGGTCTGACATCTTGAGAGAAGCATTTCGGAAATGGTAAATCCAGTTAGCTGTTCACATACTGCTGTAGTCAGCAAATACAGGAAGTGGCTTACTGAGGGTAAAATGAGCAGTAGATGGCAAGATATTGGCCATCCAGCCGACATCAAAGACAATGGGTCCCATAAGCTGTTGTTATACTAGATAAAGTGCCATCAGCCCCATTCGGATGCTCAGTTAACCAATTACTTTTAAATAAGGGCAAAGCAGAAATGTTTCAGAACGCATAATTCAACAGGCATTGTTAGCTATGAGATTCCACTTGAGCTGACTCACCATGGTTCTGTTGTTAACATTAACATCACCTTTGTTTACACTTGCAGTGAGTATTTGAATATCATAACTGAACCATTCAACAATAGAAACGTGTTCCTTGGTCAGACGAAACCTGATTTCTGTTGCATCTAACCAATGGCAGGATTAGAATTTATTGGTTGGCTGGGGAACTACTACTGGAACTATATATGACATCAAAAACTCGAGCTGATGGTGGTTCAATTATGCTGTCAGGGATTTTTAGGTAATCAGGCACTTGTCATAGATAAAACATGAAAACTGTGGATTAGATAAATGTCACTCTGGACTAGTTACACCCACGATGGCATTCGGTTTTCCACCATGGCAATGGGTCATTCCAGTAATCAGAACTGCTTGACCTCGCCGGGAATCGAACCACGGACCTCTGGAATACGCACCCAGCGTGCAGACCACCACACCACGAAGACATGCTAAGAAGGTAGGAGAAATACCTTATACAGTAGGCTAACATTTCTTGCCACAAAATTGTGTCCACATGGTTTTAATACTGCCTCAGAATTCAGCTTGCTTTCCAGGCTGCCTAATTTCCCAGATTTCAATTTAAATCAGCATTTATGGAACATCATGGGACGGCTCCTCAAAGCTAATATTCTACCAATGCTTAATTCAAGCAAACTGATGGACCTGAGCTTCAACATTTGGTATGTTTTGTGTGTGGATACACATCAGGAGCTCAGTAAGTTCATGCCTGCATGCACTGACGCTGCTAGGTAAAGTAGCCATAAAGTTTTAGATACGGTGTCACAATGTTTTGGCTCTTCAGTACATGTAAGATCTGATAAAAATAACATTTATATAAAATATTTCTGAAAAGCCAATTTACTTTCTGAACTTGCCTGATACATGACAAAACTTTTATCTGAGTTTTATTACAATCACTAGTAAATAAATGGAAAAAAAAAGAGAAATACCCAGTACAAAAAGGTTATGAAAATATGGCCTATAATACTTACAATTATCCCGAGCACATAAATAGTGATAGAGCTCTGGACAATTGTCACTAGCACAACTTAAAGAAGCTCCTGGAAATTTACACCTTGAACAAAGCTATAAAACAAATTTTTATAGAGTTACAAAATTAATTAGCAAAGCTAAGCATAATACAAATTATTTTAAATAAATATGAGACATAAAATACAAATTTGTATCTTAGATTACCCCCCCCCCCCCAAAAAAAAAAAAAAAAATTGATCATAACAGATTTTTTTTTTTTTTTAAATAAGAAGTATGTAAGCATTGAATTTCTTTTAAAAATTTGAAGAACACACTTCTCATTTTTTTGCAGTGTAGAAACATAAAAGGTATGTTTAAATTGACAAACAGCCCATGAATTCAGATGTTAAATCACATCGCTGAAATCTAGTAAGTCTGTCAACAAATAAAAAGATTGAATAAAAGAAAAACATGCCAGATTAAAATTAAATAAAAAGCAAGCATACATTTTCACTGAAACTCTGTGAATTTTGACGGCGATCAGCTAGAGGTGTTATTTCTTGTTGTTGAAGAGTCGATTCCACTCCTGCAGCAAGGCTGTTTGCAAATTCGGAATGGTTCTTGGGGGAGAATGGCAAGATGAAATTACTTTCCCAAAAGCGTCTGAGACACGATCTATAGATCAAGAGAGCTGGTTGGCCAATCCAAGCAGCGAATATCCTCACTTTCCAGGTAATTGTTGATCAGTTGAGCCCTACGTAGATAAGCGTTGTCATCCACTAATAGGAACCCAAGATCAACTCCCCCTCCCTGAAAAGTCGAATATAGGGGCTCAAAGATCTCTTCTCTACCCCTCTTATCAGTCGCCTTTGTGCATTGCAGGATGTCCAACATAATGCCTGCCCAAACTATTACAGTCAAAAGTCTTTAATCCGTACTTGTCAGAACTTTGGCGATTCCGAAATATCGGCTTTTCCGGATTATAGATCATCAGTTTAAATCTGGTAAGATGGCATGCAGAAACTATAAAATTAAAAATATAAAACCGTAATTTATGAAATAAAGAGCAATTCTGATCTAAAGGGTATCAAAATTTAAGAAGCATACATTACGCATAGTTGAAATTAAAAAATTGCAACGAGAAAACTATTTGATGTGTATTCGTGATATTTATAATGATGAGGAAATTTATTTAAATTATATCGGTGTACATCGAGATGAAACACTACATTTAGTGATGAATTACAAGCCGAATAAAATAAAAACATCTGCCCTGAAGATGAGGATAGTGCTGACAGATCAACTTCCAGTTCATAGCGCGCCGCGACTTCCCCCCTCCCCCCACAGAGCAGCGTGAAATTGATAAGCAGATTTCGGAATGGTTAGAGAAACAAATCACCTGTCTGTCACTTTCTTCATGCCTTTATCCATTTTTTTTGCAGCAATTCTACTGTTTGTTTAATGGACATTGAAACATGCTTTCGCTTTGTAGATCCTTTGGCAGCTCCAGAATTGGAAACTCTTTTTGACATAATCGAAAGTTCAAGCTTAGTTTTTATAAAATTGCTCTAACAGTCTGCAAAAAATAATAAGCCGGATCCAATTCGAAGATTAAGGAACAACGCTATCTGCAACATTAACTGAAATAGATAATTAGATAATTTTAGCTTAGCTTATACCATCCGTTATACATTAAACGCACATGCGTAAACGTATTATGCACATGCGTAAACGCATTGCAGAAAGTTTGTAGCTTTGAGGTCCGGAATATAGATCATTCCTGATTATGGACGTCCGGATTAAAGACTTTTGACTGTACATTTCCACCACTATCCTTTTTTCTCATAAGGGACGGATGGTAGCGTGTTCCATGCTCTCTCCAGATATAATTATGCCGACAATGTCCAGGCTGAATATTGACTCACCTGTAAAACGCAAGGTGCTTTAAGTCTTGTCCAATGCGCATGTTGTCCGCATCAGGATTTTGGTCGACCCTATCAAGGTCTTCTCAGTATGGATTTAGTATCATGGAACTTTCCATTAATTGCAGACGACACTGGGCATTACACTGAGCTCTGTAGCTACCTGCACTTGTGACTGGCCTGTCTCCAAATCTACCGACAATTCTTCATCTCATTCCGTCATTCATACATTTATGGCTGGCGGCTACTCATTTTAGCTGATATCTTATAAAATTTATCCAACTTTTGAGAGAAACACGGTGAATGTCATGAACATGTACGAGCACAGAAATTGCCGAAAACCCCTCATGCGTTAATAGCTCCTCTAGGAGCACAGCTTTGCAGACACACATGTGTATGCTTATGTATTTGACTCTGAATATTTGCATAATTAGTACCTTTGATTCAATACTTAAATAAAAATAGACATAATTTGGAAATTCTCTTAATTTTGCACACGCGTGTATTGGTAGAAAAATTTCATTGATTATAAGAAGAACAATATAAATAACAGATTAAATGAAAGATTCATATCTTTTTTAGAAGCTGACAAAAAATTCCAAAACATGTTACCCTTAAATCCTCATATAATACAAACATCTAATTAAGAAAAGAAGATGCACAATTTCAATTATAAATGCTTTTCCTCATTAGAACTTTATGTTTGAAACATTTACAGTCATCCGATTTTTAATTTCACATTGCCCATATTAAACAGACATAAAATGAAATTCTAAAACACTGGAAAGCATAGATTAATTAAATATCAGCACATTGAAATATACCTTATCAACAGCTTGTAAAACTGTCTCCTCCAGACCTCTCAGCCGATGTCCAAATAGATACACATTTTTGGACCAAACTGCGCATTCTTCGTGCACCCAAAATTCTTTGTTGTTATCCACCGATGCGTCCAAAGGAAATGAATTTGGGACTGACATAGGCATGTCACAACTTGACATGTGATTTGACATCTCCTCTAATGGCTTCTGACCCTTGAAAAAATAATAATTATTCAGTACTATCAATGATTATGTTAGGCAGCATATACATTAATTAATTCTAAACAATATTAGTTTCCTGAGTATATTAATCTATAATATTCTAGCACAGCTGTCAGTTTTGGAAACAGAAGAAAACAGCATCAGATGTAACTTATGTAAAGACACACCACATTGTCTAGCTTATAAACTGACTCCGATATTTTACCTAAATAAACGGTAATGTTAAGTATATCTGGCATATAAGCTGACTTTCTATTTATGCATTTCTACCGCCCTTTTCTTTCTATTAATTTTATCAGCCGAAAATCGAGACGGAAAATAACGTGAATAATTTCCAAAGGACGCGGTGACAGTAAGACCATAAAAAAAATGAAAAGTAATTATGGATAAACTATACGTAATTATCATAATATTATTTCTTTAAAAGAAACCTACAGTCCAACAAAGCTACATAGAAATACTAATATTATAATATCTAGTAAGATATCTTCATTCCTACTTCCCTACTTGGATATCGCCCGTTCTTATTGTCATCTCTGCTACTCCTTAGACCTTGTATCATCCATAAATAACTGGAAAAGGTGAATGGGCAGTTGAGTCAGTGAAATCGTACAGTATGTGTTTCCTTCGCTGTAATAAATCGATTCTCTTATTAGGTTGTTACAGTTACAAGGGAAAGGTTCGGCGTCACCTTCGCAGATAGTTTGTAAAGATTTGTCTGTTATCAAGAGGAAAATGACCCCTATAGGGACGAATTAAAAATTTTAAAATTTAGAGGAGCTCGTTTTCAACACATTGAGGAAGGGGAAAACAATGCGAATAGTTTTAAAATTTTCAGATCCTGGCGCTAAAAAGCTAATGGTAAAAATACAACAAGAAATACAATATTCTAATTGATACTCCAAATATTCAACCTTTGGATGAAGCCAAGGTGAAAAAGATACTTTAGCGGAAGGTTGAATAGTGAAAGTGAAGCTTCTGTATATTCAAATACTGAATAGGAATGATATGATAGCGCGATAGCAGCATCAGTAGAAAAGAGGAAATTAATAACTATTTAATTTCAGATGATGAAAATAATTGACATTAAGTCTATGTATATTATTTAAAGATAATAAATAAAATAACAGTAACTTCAAATGGAGGGAAAAAAGAGAGCGAGAGAGAGAAAGAAAAAAAAAAAAAAAAAAAAAAATAACATGCTTTGGCAGCCCATACATTCACCTGTATTTTCCTTCGCTTTATAAAACCTGAATAGAAGCATAGAATAATACTATATACTATATTTGCCAGTTTGGGCATCTTCGTTCTTACTTGAGTAAAAGACGAAACACCTTTGCATTTATTAATTATTGTTCATTGAACGGGAGTTGGTTTATTCCCCTTGAAAAGTTAACTAATTTCCGATCAATGACGATAATTACTCGGTTTATTAGTTTTCTTTTTCAAAGTTTGAATTTTTGTTAATCATGATTAAAATTCAAATACCTTTCAAAATCTTTTTCATGATCTAAATTCAAGTCCCCTTAAAAAATGTTTTTACATTTACATTCAAGTTCCTTTTAAAAAACAATTTTCAGAATTAAATTTCATTCTTCTGGTTTACCTCATTTTGATACATTCTACTAAATTTATATTAGGAGATAATATATCAACATTTCTTAAGTGAATAAATTATATATATATGTATATGCATATGTATATATATATATGCCTTAAACTATTTCAAAGACATTTCCGGGATTCGAACCTGGGCCCTCTGATATGGCAGTCAGAGTCACCAACTACTATCTCGGTTAGGCGGCAGGGTGTTTTCTACTACACTAACTACCAATAAGTATTTGGACACCTATGCAAATGGCGATATCTGCGATCCTAAGGTACGTCACGGACTCCGCCGGTATATATCGTGTAGGAAACAGCATCGGCTTTAGTCGCATGCAAAATGCCTCGCAGTTCGGAGCTCTCTGATTTCGAGAAAGGTATAATTATCGGGTATCACAAATGTGGCCGATCCTTAAGGGACATATCTAGCGATCTGAAGTACCCAAAATCGACAGTGGCCTATGTGATTAAGAAGTGGAAGGTGAGCGGTGATTGTCGAAATGTGCCCCGAGTTGGCAGACCAACGAAACTGGAAGATAGGGACCGACGAGTGCTGTCCAGAGAAATTCGGAAGAACCGCACCCAACCGATGGCCCTCATCCGCGAGGAGTTTCAACAGGCATCCGGGAGTATTGTTTCAATGAATATCATCCGTAAAGAAGCACATCTGCTTGGTTTTCATGGTCGTGCTGCTGCCTTTGATCACAAAGTCCAAGCGCGCTGCTCGCTTAATGTGGTGCAAAGCACATCGAAATTGGACCGTAGATCAGTGGAAACGGGTTCTTTGGAGTGACGAATCAAGGTTCACCCTTTACCGTTCGGATGGCAGGGTCTGGGTCTGGCGTCTACCCGGAGAACGTCTCCTGCCAGAATGCATTGTGCCAATAGTCAAGTTCGGCGAAGGTGGAATTATGGTCTGGGGGTGTTTCTCCTGGTATGGGCTGGGACCCTTGGTCCCCATTCATGGTATGCTCAACTCCGATGCCTACTGCACTATTTTGGATGACAATGTGCTTCCTACGTCGTGGCAGTTTTACGGGTTGGACCCGTTACTTTCAGGACGACAAATGCCAGTTGTCATGTTTCGACGTTAACCAAGGCTTGGTATGGTGTCAATGGAGTTCTTCGAATGGACTGGCCTGCCCAGAGTCCAGACCTGAACTCTATCGAGAACCTCTGGGACGAGTTGCATCGCTGAATTCAGGGGTGCACTACCCGTGCGAAATCGGTAAAGGAACTTCTATGTCTTGTCCAAGCCGAGTGGAAGAAAATACCATTAGCTGTCATACTAAGACTTGTGGAAAGTATGCCCCGGAGGGTCCACGCTGTAATTACCTCTCGTGGAGGCTCTACCAACTATTGATTTTGAATAAAGTTAGTTTTTCCTTTCTATCACAGGTGTCTAAATACTTATTGGTAGTCAGTGTATAAATAATTTACGAACAGCAGAAAAATTGCAGATGAACATTGATACCATGAAGACAATGGTTATAACTATAATGTTTTTTTAACCCTAGGGCATTTCATTTAGTAGTAACGAATAGTTCAATCATACACAACGGATGTTGTATACTTAACATTAAATTAATTAAATTAAATCCACATGATCATTTGTAAAATATAATAGTGAAACAACAAATCCATTAAAAAAAAGCCATTAACAAATACCTTAATGTTCAACTATTTAAACTACAAGATTTTAATAATATGTAAAGCTGTTACAACACATAATATCTTCACGTACGCCCAAACTTATTGCAAAAATTCGTATCAGAGGTTATCTATCTCAATAAAATTTGTATACATAAGTTCAAATTAATTAGTTCCATCTGTAGACTTTCTGGCGCGTTACTAAAAGTCCCCCCCCCCCGACAATGAAAATAATATAAAATTGGACTCGCTAATCATTAAAAATCATAAGTCTATCTTCAAATTATTGTCATAATAATTAATGTAATCATAATACTAATTTAGCATTTTGACACTTAAGACTTCTTTTATGCATAACACCGTGAATGTTTGTAGGTTAAGCCACGGACTAGGAAGTTAACACTGAAGATGTGAAGAAGTTACTAGAGAACTCCCTAAAAATGAGTTCAACAAGAAAGAACTCTTAACTTCAGAAACAGCAACAAAAGGCGACTGTAGACGAAATGTGTTCGGAAGAGTTAGAAAGAAAAATAATGACCCTTATCCATGAAATATGCACAAAATGAGGTAAGATGTAAAATTTTCATGTAGTGACATTATTACCCTACTAAAACAGCAGCAAGCTACAGCATGAGCCATTTTCAATGGCAATGCCAAGTCTCATTTTAGCAACATTTTAAAATGTAGGCAATTAAAAATCATTCTAGATAAATTTTGAGTGAAACGAAAGCTCACACGAGTCAAATGGTGCTTAAAGAAGAAGCAACCAAAAGACAATTACCTGATTTTTTTATATATAAAAGAGAATGCTTCATCCCAACGGTAAAATTTTCCACTTATTACTCTCCTCTGTATAGATGAAGTAAAATTTTCATCTGTTTTATCCAGTTATCTTTTTTGTATCTGCCTTTACAGTGTTGCAACCGTATCAAAATTGCTGACCCGAATATTTTAAAATAAAAAGATCATGAAAAATAAAAAAATTTAATTAAAAAAGGCTGTGGGCTAAACAGCCGAGTGTGAGGGTTACGTCAGTAACACATTGCACCTACGGCAAAATCGCGTTCCTCAAAGTTAACTTTCTATGGAAAAAGTTGGTAAGGTATAGCTCAAGTTAATAAGGTATATACAGGGTGTTTTATACTGAATGGAAAAAAGGAAGCATACCTTTGAACACTGTAATTACATTTATTTTGATAAATCAAATTTATAATGAAACAATAGTTATCCAAGTTTCCTTAGATGTTCTGTGTGTGCCTTTCTGGTGTCACGCCAAATATCTATGTGGTATTTCAGTTCTTGCGGCACTCGTGATAGAATATCCTTTGTTAATGATTCGAACCCTTCAGTTATCCGCTGCTTCAGTTGCTGTATGTCCTGCAGAAATGGAGGCACGAACATTTTATCTTCAACAAAACCCCACACGGGAAAAAAAAAAAAAAAAAAAAAAGGGAAAAAGGGGCTTACATCTGTGGGATCTCGGTGACCCAGTACAACCAATCTAACGATTGGGTACAGTATCGTTCAGATGTTGGCGTACATTTTTATACCAAGGTGGTGGAGCACTGTCTTGTTTGAGAATGAAGCCGGGAACCGCTTCCTCCAAATGAGGAAACAACCACTCTGATAGAATAAATAAATGATAAAATGCACCCGTTAATCGGTTTTTCCGCGAAGGAACAGAGCACCAAAAAGACAACTGTTGGAAATGGCGCAGAAAACGTTCACTCTAGAGA